GATTTCGGAAGGACACAAGTAAAGATGAGTAATTCTGATTTCGGAAGGACACAAGTAAAGATGAGTAATTCTGATTTCGGAAGGACACAAGTAAAGATGAGTAATTCTGATTTCGGAAGGACACAAGTAAAGATGAGTAATTATTATTTCGGAAGGACACAAGTTAAGATGAGTAATTCTGACGTTAAATTCATATTCCCATTTCTTGAAATATATAACGAAGTAATTTAGTAGCATTAGTTATTACATACAGAATTGAATACGTATTGAAAAACAGTCAACATTATGTCAATTCCATACACAAGCGCTAACGAGTACCAATTGTAAACGAAACATTGGGAATTTCAAAGCCATACTTTACTTCGTACCTGATTTTTCTCCCAAACTTGCCCCTGAAGAAGAAAGTGGTGTTTTTATTCATTTTCTCACAAACTAATATCTTTTATTATTATTATTCTCTCTCTATTTCAACAATATGATACTGGTGGTTTAAAAAAAACAAAAAAACAATGTACATCATTGTGCAAGATATTGCAAGGATCAATGACCACTGTCATGAAAAGATTATTCTTACAGTAGCTTCTCTTAGGAATGGACTTGATATGTTGATTGAGAATGTTGGAAATCATATGGAACACCTTCTGTGACAGATTCGTAGTGGAACATCTTCTGTGACAGATTTGTAGTGGAACACCTTCTCTGACAGATTTGTAGTGGAACACCTTCTGTGACAGATTCGTAGTGGAACACCTTCTATGTCGGATTTGTAATGGTACACCTTCTCTGGCAGATTTGTAAACACCCTGTACGATGTTGAAGTTCTCCTGAATGAACCTAATGATTCCCAATACGCCCATGGTGTAACTTAATTCGCAAAAGACAAACAGTATTTAAGATATCATCACGATATATTCTACGTAATGTCTTCTTTAGATCTTGTTTTGCATCCCACAATGATCTACTCATTCAATCCTCTCGAATTGCTGGGCTCTAGCGTTATTTTATAATAATTAGTTATTTGAAAAGACACTTGTGCTGTAAGAAAGCGCGATTTTTTATTTCTTTGGATTATCGATAGTTAGGGATCAGACTATCTAAAAAAAAAAGGTTACAATGAGAAATTAATCCAGTAATTTTTTACTATTTTACAGAAGAGGCACACCAGGTGTTGTTTTTCTGGCGAATACTTGGTGCTTAATGATGCAGTATGGGAATGTGAACGGGCCATGGTAATGAAATTTAACACACAAACATGAAGTGGTACTACAATAGCTGAACAAACTGAGCGTGGGTGTAGGAGGAGGGGGGCATGAGACATGTCGCCCATGTTTTAATCAGATGGTTAACAAACATAAATTTTTCAAATCGTTGTTGATATGAAGGTGATTCCAAGAATTAAAAACAAATCATTTGTTATGATTCTGATGCTCGTGTGTGTGTCTTGGATGGGGGGAGGGGAGTAACGAGGGAGGAGGTTTCTGCAATTCAAGAATTGCCAAAAGTAACACCTATTTTAGTAGTAAATATAAGCAGACTGACATACACACACACACACACACACAACAAACGGCAACCGGTTCCATATCTTCTGATGTTGATATTAAATTTGAGTCAGAAGCCAGCGTGGAGTCTGAAGAATATGCTTGGGAGAGTTTTTCTCTTTGGTCTGACTTTCCTAGGCATTCGTTCGAAATGCTCTTTGGTCGACTGTAAAATAGCGGTAAGGGCGAAATTCGGAAAACTGACAGCGCTGATAAAAACAAGAAATGATGCAGGTGCTAGCAACCTTCTCAACTCCAAGTTGGATATGGATGTTGTGATCTTCACAGGAGGCAAGCAGTTTCTCTTTTTTATCATTTCAACATCCTTCTTCGTAAGTGTCAAAATACTTGGCCGAGCCCATTTCCGGACTGTAAAAAGAAAAATGTTGACCGGTTCAACACTGGCTCAGCAGGTGGAAGGCATCACGTGTGTTCGCGAAAGCCTTTGACCTCTTAGTCTGCGTTCTATTGCAACAACACTAATATCACTGACGCAATCATTGTTGATGACGCCAGTCACGACATGTTTGTGCTTTATAAAAGATTATGTATATAGTGTACGTATTCCTGTCACTCAGTATATTCGTTTTTCTAAGAAAAATTTCAGTAGCAGAGGCTTTGCATAACACCGTCATAATGACACCGACGTTCTTCTTCAGTGGTGTAAGCTTGTGGTTATTCGGTGGGCCTTATAGATCAGATGACAATAACCAACTTTCCTTGAGAAAATTCCAATAAAGAAGACTCTCAGAACCTTCGTTCTGTTTGCGTGTAAAACAGGCAGATTTTAATATTTCCCCATTAACCGTGCTAATAACAAAACATTTGTATATATAACTTATATTTATATAATCATGTAAATAGTTCCGATAGGCCTAATGGTAGAAATTAAATAAAAATGAGATAAACTTCTCACTTCAATCAAATAAACATACAGTGCTGGTAGATCTTAGGCAGTTTTTACACTTTTTC